CCAGACTGGGTCACATGACCACTTCTGGGATCTCCAATACCTCCCCCTGCACTATACGCAAAAGAGATGTACTAGAATCCCAATAGGATCCCAACCCCTCATCCCCACTTCTTTCCAAGAGGTACTTTACTGTATCTGTTTAATGTATTTCAACTGATTATTGACATGTTTACCTCTGTGACTAAACATTATGTCTTGGGTGACAACTTCTTGGTTTCCAGTTTGAGTTATTGCTGATACCCTGGCCATGGAAAATGAGATTTTCATCTCTTCCCTCTGTCTCTACCACRTACCCACTTTTCCCATCCCCTGTCCTCCCAACAGAATTACACYGTGGTTGGCATTGAGCGATTACCTTATCACGGCTCTGTGATTGCTCTGCACCATTGAGAAAAATCCAGTAAAAGGATTTTCTCTTTTTTGTGGCAGCGTGCCGTCTTCAGTTATTTCTCACGAGGGTGCATGGGAAATAATATGAGATGTACATTTGGAAGAAACCCAATCACGTCGATCCAGGTTAAAAGGTTGGATTATGAAATGATTTAGGGCCGAAAGAAGTGGGAAGGAGTCTAGTACAGGAAGGGAGATAGAATCTCAGTCATGAACCAGAAAATCTGCAAAGAAAGAATATAAGCAAACAATAATCTCCCTTGTCCACCCCCTGCCCTCCCACAAAAAAAACACTGTGACTCCCTATTGTGCTTGGGATAAAGTTCAAATGCCTTCCTTGCTCAGCCCTGTGTGTGTGTGTGTGTGTGTGTGTGTGTGTGTGTGTGTGTGTGTGTTTGAACCCAGAGATGCTTAACCACCGAACCACATCCCCAGCCCTCTACCCTTTAAATACATTTTAGAGACAAGGTCTCCCTGAGATGCATAGGGCCTCACTAAGTTGCTGAAGCTGGCTTTAAACTTGCATTCCTCCTGCCTCAGCCTCCCAGTTGCTGGGATCATAGGTGTGTTCTACTGCACCCAGTTTCCTCACTTTGATTTGAACGTGGATAGGGATGACACTGCCTACACTCAGCRCTGACTTGAGGATTCAGTCCTGCGTGTGCTTGCATTTTTGCAAAGCTTCTGTCTTCATAGTGTAACAGGTTATTATGCCCATCATGTCAGCTACCCTTTGCCACCTCTCCTAGGTGTTAATAGTTTCATGGGTCTGTCTGTATACCATGTGTGCAAGTGTTGAGCGTCTCCTCTGGCCCTGGTACTGTTAGGTTGGTTGGTTGGTYGTACCAGGAATTGAACCCAGGGRCGCTTAACCACTGAGCCCCATCCCCATCCCTTTTTATATATTATTTAGAGGCAGGGTCTTGCTGAGTTGCTTAGGGCCTTGCTAAGTTGCTGAGGCTGGCTTTGAACTCACGATCCTCCTGCCTCAGTCTCCCGAGCCGCTGGGATTCCAGGCATGCACCACCGCGTCCAGCCTATTAAGTGTCCTATGTTTGTATTTCCCCTTTCATTCTTCTAACAGCTCTCTCTAGAAGATGGAAAGTAACAGTTTTATAGGTGATACAGGTGGTTCATAGGCCCCCAAAGAATCCGTCTCTGATTAAAATCCTGGGCCTTGAAATAAACTACCGCCCACTTTTTTCAAAGCTCAGTCTGGCAGAAGGTCTGTGGGGCTTTGCTGTTCCCTGGGCTCTCGTGAGACATCTGCAGCCCTTCCCCTGGAGAACAAATCTCATCTTGTTCTCTGCCTTCAGAGGCTGTAGCAGGTGATTTCAGGCCTGACCTGATAGGAAAGAAGGCAGAGAAGATCAGGATGCTGATGGTGGCACAGCCCTGGGGACAGAACCTGTGTCAGAAGTGGGGACTCCCAGGGGAGGCCAAGGTCATAGCCTCATACCCTGGAATCCCAGTGTCGTCTTTTTCGCCTCTGTGACCAAAAAGCCCGACAAGAACAATTTTGAGGAGGRAAAGTTCATTTGGGGGGACTCGTGGTTTCAGAGGTCTTAGTCTATAGATGGCTGACTCCATTTGGGGGAGCCTGAAGGTGAGGCAGCAGGGTGTGGCAGAGGAAAGCAGCTGGGACCTGGCACCCAGGAAGCAGAGAGAGACTCCGCTCTCCAGGGACAAAATATATACCCCAAAGCCACGCCCCCAGGGATCCACCTCCTCCAGCCACACCCCACCCACCTTTAGCCACCACTTGGTGAATCCCATTGGGGGGTCACTCTGCTGATTGGGTTGAGGCTCTCCTAATCTAATCATCTCACCTCTCTCCTGCTTGCATTGTTTCCCACATGAGCTTTTGGGGGACACCTCACATGTGAACCGTAACAGCTAGCAACATTTCATTTCCAGACCCATGTAGGAAGCCCACAGCTTGACATCTCAGAGGTGAACTGGAAGAATCGGACTCCTTCAGTCCCAGGGGC